ACACCTGGGTATCACTGCCGAAGCGGACTCTGAAGACACTTCCATAGTTGTCTGCCAACTGTGAAACAAAACGTGTCTGTGTACTGTAAAAAACTTTAGAACTTGTTGAGCAAGCAAGAACTGAAAAAACAATCACAAGAAATCTGAGAGTACAGTGACAAACAAATCTGTTAAAATTCATTATTTTGTGTCTAGTGTGTTTCAAGGTAAAAGTGCTTCACTCATTTTAACTTGAATAACCACAGATACTTGCACAGGGGTGGAACTAAATTATTTCTGAGGGGTATGCATACACATTACAGCCCTTTAAACTGACAACCTGAGGTGGGCAAAGCAAAACATAAAGTCCACAAGTTGTGTGGGGGAAGTTGATGACTTACTAAATTCAGACTTGTTAACAAATCAGATCAGTACCTTGCTGAAATAAATGTGTGGGTGTTTGCTGTCCACACTTAGGATATTCCCAAAGAAGGGAAGAGCCCGCGGTCCTGGAGGAAAATTTGCAGGTTTCCTGTTTTTGAGAAAGTCTGCTATCAAAAGAAACAGGAAAATAAACAGCAACAATCCCTTTAGGTCCAAGTTTGACAAAATATTGTAAAGCCACATGGTTAAAAGATTCAGGCAGCAGGAGCAGAACGTCTGTGCTGATCCGGAGTTTCTGCTATTTAAAACAGCAGTGCCTTTAAGTGCACCGGACGGCTAACTGTAAAACAGTAGATCATAGTCTGTATAAAGGGGAAAGTTCTTGCATAACAGAGTGCAAACCACACCTACTTGTACTTTGACTAGCAAACCCTTTGTTATGCTTGTATGATAAAACCTACTGTAACCTATTACTTTTTATATTTTCAACTCAGCAGTAAGATATCAGACACCAACACACTGTGCTGTGACGTTTAATCATTAAATGTTGTGAGCAGAGTTCACAAATCATAATGGTGGCAAAAAGCCCTGAACAGATTTATTATGCAGGTGCATGCGAGCATGACATGGGCTGAACAAGTTTGGTTACTTAATGCAGACGGTGGCAGAGTATTGAACGCACAGTACTTTGTTTGACAGTCCACCTGGCCGACCTTTACACGGTGGCAGACAACTCAGAAATGGAGGCCGTATACAATGTTTTAGGCTTGGAGTGGCTTGACAGCAGAAGTGTTTTACTATTTCTCTGCGTCTTTTTTCTGCTTGCTGATGTTTTGAAGAACATAAGACCAAAGAACTTCCCCCCCGGCCCGTGGGCTCTTCCTTTAATCGGAGATCTTCACCGCATTCAACCTTCCAGACTTCACCTGCAGTTAACAGAGGTAGGCTTCATTCGGGTTGAATGGTTTGTACTTTGTGACAAAACTGATCCGCTCTACAAATGTGATGCATGGGAACGTCCAACAAAACGCTTTTCATGGTCGATTTATCAGGATGTGTTATCCAGCTACTGTGGACAAATTAGACGATTAGAATAGGCACTTTAAGGTAAAAAGTCATCTTTAAGTTGATATTTTAATATATATGTATACATAATACCTTTCTAATTGCGTAAAGATACCATATATTTCAACATTTAATCATTTAATTCTCACAGCAGCTGAGGAGACAGAGGGACGTAATAAATTGGCATGTCTATAGATGAGGAAGGTCAGTGTAAGACAAATATGTTCGTTTTTTACAAACCATTATCAAACTTTCGTATGAAATTAGCTTTAAACTGCCAGGAGCCACCAAAGTTTGGGGCGACCCAATCTGAGTGTAGCCCCGTGATGTGGCGCATTCAAGAGTGCGCGCTTTGTTTACCTGGTGCACGAGATGCAAACAGAACTCTGCACAAAACATTCAGGCAGGATCCTTTTTTTCTTTTTGCACTAAAGCTGAAATATCTTGAAACATCAGGTCCAAACCTATTTCCAGTTGCTCATAAATATACAGTCCTATTTCTCATTCTTCTGGGCAACAGAAATATTTTCAAATCTGAATAAATGCCTTCCATTCTTTTGTCTATCCTTTGGTACATTTTATCTCCTCAAGACATCACACCTTACAGAATCTGCATGATGTCATTTGAAATAGAGCAATTGGAAATGGTTTCTCAAATGGTTTGTGGTTTTATTCTGACAAATAAATCTGGACTGCAATATGTTTTTCTGTTTTTTCGCATGTGACCCTGTTTGGCTTTTTCTTTTTCTTTTAAATTCATGCCGATTTTCTATGTATGAAAGAACAGCATATATCAGTCCTTCTTGATGAGTTCAGGTGCAGTTGCATAACTTGGCAGTGTGGATCTTTTCTGCAGGGCTGTGCTGGAGTGTCTTATTCGTCTTTGTTCTTCAGTTTGTAGACACAGATCAAAGTTATATGCTGTGGTGGGAATTCATCATTTAGAGTTCGGCATTAAAGCACATCTGGAAATGTCAAACACAGCTGCTGCCTGTGCTTATTACCTGACCCTCCAAATTGCCTCACAAGACTTCCTCTTAGTGAAAATAATTTTTCCATATCAAGTACTTTATACAGTCAGCAGTTACTTAGCATTGCTTTTACAGAGCCCTTCGCTTTGAGTTATTCTTTTTTTTTT